TATGAGACAATAGGTGTGGGAGAGATTAACTAGGATTAGGGCTTCAAGGAAGGAGAGCTGGTGTATGGTTGGAGATTTCAACGAGATACTTAATAATTCTGAGAAAATTGGAGGACCTAGGAGGTGTGAGTCTTCTTTTAAACCTTTCTCTACTATGCTTAGTGATTGTGGGATGACTGAACTGGCAAGCTCTGGGAACAGCTTTACTTGGGGTGGTAGAAGGCAAAAGTTGTGGATTCAATGCAAATTGGATAGAGGTTTTGGTAACAAAAGTTGGATGGGTATGTTCCCTGCTTCGAATCAAGGCTTCCTGGTTAAAAGAGGATCAGACCACAGACCAGTTTTGGTGAATCTGGTTTCATCTCAAGCCTCTTATAAAGGGTCTTTCAGGTTTGATAAGCGTATGCTCCATAAGCCTTTGGTGAAAGAAGCGATTACCATTGCTTGGAACTCCTCTGTTAACTCTGCTGATGATGTTGTCTCTACTCATTTGAGGAAGTGTAGGAAAGCACTGAGCAAGTGGAAGAAGGAAAATGACTTGAACTCTAAGGTCAAAATTACTGCTCTTGAGAATGATTTAGAATTTATCCAATCTGCAGCTTGCCCTTCCTCTATCAGGATTAATCAATTGAAGAACAGCCTTGTAGAAGCTTATAGAGAGGAGGAAAGTCATTGGCAACAGAAGAGTATTGCTACTTGGCTTCATGCGGGAGACAAAAATACTAAGTATTTTCATGCATCCGTGAAGAACACAAGATCAAAGAATGGCCTTTCTAAGTTGCTAGATGATAATGGGATTATGCATAAGTCAGAAGCTTCTAAAGGTGATGGCTGCCTCTTACTTTCAAAAGCTGTTTTCCTCTTCTGATCCTTCCAACTCCCAAGATCTCCTAGTTGGTTTTGCGCCTCGAGTAAATGATGAGATGAATGAGATGTTGATTGGGAAGCTTTCTAGGGAAGAGGTAAAGAATGCAGGTTTTTCCATCAAGGCTTCAAGTGCCCCTGGTTCGGATGGAATGACTGGACTGTTTTTTCAACAGTACTGGGATATAATTGGGAGTCAAATTGTTAAAGAGGTCACTGGTTTCTTTGAGGATGGTGTTTTTCAAAAGAGTGGAACTTCACGCAACTGTGTCTAATTCCATAGAAGATTAACTCGCCTTTGATGAGTGATTTGAGGCCTATTAGCCTTTGTTCAGTGATGTACAAAGTCGTATCCAAGATCATGGTTTCTCGTCTCAAGCCTCTCCTTGATGGGATCATTTCACCGAATCAGTCTGCATTTGTTCCTGGTAGACTCATATCTGATAATATCCTGATTGCACATGAAGCTGTACATGCTCTGAGGACTCATCCGGCGACTTCTAAGGGATTTATGGCGGTTAAAACGGATATGTCCAAAGCTTATGATAGAATGGAATGGAGCTACTTAAAAGATCTTCTCTTCGCTTTACGCTTCTGTCAAAATGGGTTGATTTAGTCATGTACTGTGTAACTTCGGTGACTTATACTGTTTTGATCAATGGGTAGCCTTTTGGTTTGATTAACCCAAAAAGGGGTTTAAGACAGGGTGACCCCTTATCACCATCCTTGTTTGTCTTATGTGCTGAAGGTCTAACTCACCTGCTAAACAAAGCTGAACAGGCCGGAATTATTAATGGACTTCAGTTCTCTGTTGATGGCCCTGCAATTCACCATCTTTTATTTGCGGATGACAGCTTGTTTATATTCAAAGCGAAGGAAGATCAATGTGAAGTTGTCCAAAACATCCTCTCTTCATATGGTAAGGTCACAGGCCAACTCATTAATCTTGATAAATCTTCCATTACCTTTGGGATTAATGTTGATCAGCTGGATAAAGGGAAAATTCAAGAGAAATTGGGGATCTTCAGTGAAGGAGGAGCCGGTTCATATCTTGGTTTGCCTGAGTGCTTCAGTGGCTCCAAAGTCGATTTGTTGGCCTACATACATGACAAAATGAAAGCTAGAATGTCTGGTTGGTTTGCAAAAACCCTATCTCAAGGAGGTAAGGAAGTTTTGCTCAAAGCTGTTGCCATGTCAATGCCAGTATATGCTATGTCCTGCTTTAAGCTGCCAAAAACCTCTTGTGATAAGCTCTCTGCGGCTATGGCTACCTTCTGGTGGGACTCTACTGAAGACAAAAGGAAGATGCATTGGATAGGCTGGGACAAGTTGTGTCTTCCCAAACATGTGGGTGGTCTAGGGTTCAAAGATATCCAGGTCTTTAACCAGGCCTTGCTTGCCAAACAGGCCTGGAAAATCTTGCAGGATAAGGACAGTTTGTGTGCAAGAATTTTAAAGAGCAGATATTTTGAGGAAGGCACTTTCCTTCAAGCTGCTTTGGGAGATAGACCCTCCTTTGCTTGGAGAAGCATACTTCATGGTAGAGATCTCCTACATCTTGGTCTTAGAAAGATGATTGGTGATGGGGAAGATACTTTTGTTTGGACTGCTCGATGGATTTTGGATGGTGTTATGAGAGCCCCACTCATGAGAAACATCATTTTTGATTTGGATATGAAGGTAAAAGATCTGTTGGATCTAATTGCTGGTACTTGGGATTTGGAGTCTTTACAGGAGCATTTCTTCCCCAGAGATGTTGAATTGATCTTAAAAATCAAACCGGTCATCTCCTCTGAAGATTTTCACGTGTGGGAACATACTAAGAGTGGAGAATACTCGGTTAAATCTGGTTATTGGTTTGCTTTTCAAAGAGAAAAGGCTGATTTGATTTGTGAGTTTCAAATGCAGCCTTCCATCCAACTGATTAAAGACTTAATCTGGAAAAGTCTCACTCCCACCAAAATCAGGAACTTCATGTGGAAAGTTATTAGTGGTGCTGTCCCTGTGGTTGATAAAATGATGAGTCGTGGACTTAAAGTGGACTCAAGATGTCAGAGCTGCGGGCAGAAAGGTGAATCTTCAAATCATGTGTTATTTAACTGTACGGTAGCAAGACAGACTTGGGCTATGTCAAACTTTCCCTTTCCTGCTGAAGGTTTTGACTCTCATTCACTTTACCACAACTTCTTCTATCTCTTTGTTTCTGCCAAAAATAATATGATTCCTTTGGAGACTAGAAGATCTTTTCCATGGATTTTGTGGCAGCTTTGGAAAAATAGGAACCGGTTTTTCTTTGAAGGAAGAAGGTTTGTGATTACTGAAACGGTTGCTAAGATTAAAGAAGATGCTAATCAATGGTTTTATGCTCAAATGCTTGAGAACAGAGAGAACTTGTTGGAGCAGCCTGTTCCGGCTCCTGTTAAAGTGAAATGGGCTCCCCCTCCTCATGATTGGTTAAAATGTAATGTTGGATCATCATGGGACAGAACTGGAAGAATTGGAGGAGCTGCGTGGGTTCTTAGAAATGAGTTTGGAGATGTGCTGTCTCATGCTAGAAGATCATTTGCAGAGGTGAATAGCAAACTCGATGCTAGCATTGTTTGTTGGCAATGGGCTTTGGAGAGTATGAAAAGCCTAAATGTTGACAAGATAATTTTTGGTTCTGAGGACAAGGAACTCATAGGTGCTGTTTTAAGACCACCTGCTTGGCCCTCTTTTAAGTTTCAGGGCATTCTTTTGACTGATCTCTTAAGGAATTTTTTGGTTTGGAAACTGGTTGGTGAAGAAAGGAGCTCAAATCTTGGAGCCCATCTAATAGCCAGAAGTGTAACAAAAGAGGATCGCCGCCAATCGTACGTAGCAATCGGGTTTCCTCTATGGTTAAAACATCTTTTTGAAAAAGAAAGTAGTATTGCTTAGTGTAATACTCAATAGGGTTGATCTACAATGATTGTCTTTGATCCGTTACCCATTTTTGTATGATTGCTCGTAATTATGAAATATATATCAATCTTTCAGGGAAAAAAAAAAAAGTTTGATGCACCATCCAACGTGCATAACTTTGTTGATTTTTTTTCAATTTTGTCGATTTTATGTAAGTAGATAGATATTTGTGCATAAAATAAGGATTTACTGTATATATTATAACCATTTTAATATTACTCCCTCCGTTTCGTTTTAGTTGTCGTTTAAGGTTTTTTCACACAAATTAAAAAAGCATTAAATTTTCTGTTTTAATCTTTATTAATATATTTTACAAAAAATTTCATTGGCCAAAACATTAAAACTGTAGGGATAAAACTGGAATTTTCACCAAACATTTGCATTGAAAACCTAAAACGACAACTATTATGAAACAAAATTTAAATCTTAAAACGACAACTAAACTGAAACGGAGGGAGTAACATTTTCACATAAATTACAAAATAAAATATTATTTATATCCTAAAACATAAATTGCCTAATTAAGGTTATTAAAAAGTTAAATGTGTTATTACTATACAAATATAGCTCATAAGCATATTTAAAAAGCAAATCACCATTGTAAATTCGGGTCCCTTGTAGTTAGAAGGAAAAAAGTGAAATATAGATCATGCATGTGTAGGTGGGCTGATGAATCCAATGAGCCGACATCTTAACTTAGGATACCCTTTCATGTCTTCGTCGTCTCTTTGTTTGTTGTTTTCTAGTCAAAACCTTTTTTATATACAAAATACAAAAATAAATCGAGATCTAATTGACTTATAAAAAGCTTATGCATTGCATGTTCAAGACCATTTTTCTATAAATTTTTTAAAATGATAGGTTAACATCAGACAATACAATATCCATTCCACTCTTTTCATATTCTACATACAAATCTTTTAACTAAAAATAAAACACGTACACCAATAATTCATTTATTGAAACATTTTTGTTTTTTTTTTTTAAATAATTTTAAAATATTCTTTAATCATATATTCCCAACGTCTCTCTGCAACAACACGCACCTCCAGCTAGAGCTCTCTCCCTCCCCATGTAGTTTAGGGAAACGCTCTCCCACGCGCTAATACGCGCATACACTCCACTCTCTAATAATACGACGTCGTGTTTAGTCTTATACCGTTGACCAATACGCATGGGTTTTACAAATATACGTATTCATCTACTCATCTTCTCTCTCTCTCTCTCGCGTTTCAGTCACAAGACTCTCACAACAAAGCGATTTTTTGCTTCACGAACTCAAACCTCTCTCTCTCTTTCTCTCCGAGTCACGCATTTTCGTCTGTGATTCTCGAGCTCTTGTGGGTTCTCTCCGAGATTTTTGGTCGGTTCTTCACGTTTTTGAAAAGCTTTGTCTATGGCGGTGATTAAGTGATGAAAGTCACCGGAAAGCCGTATTCGACGGCGACATTACCGGCCTTTGAGTCGGATAAGAATCTCTTCTCTCACGGTCCAGATCTCAGAGCTATACAAAGAGCTACTACTGTCACTAAACGTCGAGCAAGGAACCCGAGTTTGACTCGTCAGCGAAGATCCGTTGCTTCTGGTGGCAGACGAAGCCGGCCGGAGACTCCGCTATTGAAATGGAAGGTGGAGGATCGTAATAAAGAGAGAAGCGGCGTTGTCGAAGACGATGATTACGAGGATGTTGGATGTAGTAATAATAACCAGGTTGCGAGGTCAGAGACTACTCGCCGCAAGGATCGGAGGAAAATCTCACGGCCTGTCTCTGTTAGGAAACTCGCCGCCGGGCTTTGGCGGTTGCAAGTTCCTGACGCTAGTTCCAGCGGCGGAGAAAGAAAGGGCAAAGACGGGTTAGGGTTTCAGGTACACTTTCAATTTTTTAATTTTTTGGAATCTTCTAGATTCTTGATATCCATTAGTTTTGGGGCATTTACTTAGAAATTGAATTGCTCTCATCTGCATTGTGAGAGAATAAGGTAGTTGTTATGGATGATCTCAATTTATTACCCAATTGGTGATTGCTTAACTTTGAAGTTGAAGTTTTTGACCACTGCTCTATCAAGTCCTTATCTCCTTTATTTGCATTATCAAACCTTTATGTTCCTTTCATGATTATCATCAATAAACCTACATATGTACAAGTCTTAGTCAGTCGATTGATGATTAGCATTCAATCATTTGGCGTTATCCGTTTAACTAGAGCTGTTTTGTTGATCTCATAGACTTGAATCATCTTTTGTTCAGATTTCTAATTATAACCATATATGCAATTAGAAAACCTTTTTAGTTTCCCAATGTCTAAGATTTAGTGAAAGATCTGATGAGTGCTCATATGGAGAAAGAAATTTATGTTCATTAGCTTTCTGTTTTAAGCAATCTTGTTGTTTCCTTGCAGGGAGGTGCTGGATACATGGGTGTTCCTTATCTTTATCACCATAGTGACAAACCTTCTGGTGGTCAAAGCAACAAGATAAGGCAGAACCCTAGCACTATTGCCACGACAAAAAATGGATTCTTGTGTAAGGTGTGTTGATCTTCTAAATCTTCTTAGTGTATATGATATTAGCTAAACAAGTAGATGTGTGTAGCATCAGACAGAAATACTTTGGATACCATGCATCCGTTGTCTATTTACTCTTCAAAGACTTAGAGCTTATTAGCATAATTGCAGTTGGAAATATGTTTTCAACCCTATAACTTTACCAATAAAGGGTATACACTATACTAATTGATAGGCGTATTTGATTGCAATTTTTTTGGTGTTATGATTTCTTTTCATTTTTAACCCGGTAAAAAATTATTTGAATGAAGTTTATTTTATTGAAGAGTTTGGAAATTTTCTCGTACTACCCCCGCCTGCAGAAAGGAAAAACTTAAATGAGATTGAGATTATGAATCTGTGACTTCAAGTTGGTTCTATGAGTCCTTGGTCAGTCTTACCTTTTTGGGCTATCGGTTTTCTAAAAGCTCTCATTATAACTCTTAACTTCGATATTCTTGTCCTAGTCCTTGAAGCTCCTTTTTGTTGTTGAACTTATGTTATGTAATCGGTTCTTTATGGTTTCTTGACCTCAATTCTTCTATTGCTTTCTTGTCAGCTCGAGCCTTCAATGCCATTTCCCCACTCGGCGATGGAGGGGGCGACAAAATGGGATCCTGTCTGCTTGGATACAATGGATGAAGTACACCAAATATATAGCAACATGAAGCGCATTGATCAGCAAGTGAATGCTGTATCATTGGTTTCTTCCCTTGAAGCAGAACTGGAGGAAGCACATGCTCGCATTGAAGATCTCGAGAGTGAGAAGCGATCTCATAAAAAGAAGCTTGAGCAGTTCTTGAGGAAAGTTAGCGAAGAGAGGGCTGCTTGGCGGAGCAGGGAGCACGAGAAGGTCCGGGCAATCATTGATGATATGAAAACTGATATGAACAGGGAGAAGAAAACCCGTCAGAGATTAGAAATTGTAAATCATAAACTAGTCAACGAGCTTGCAGATTCAAAGTTAGCTGTGAAGCGTTACATGCAAGACTACGAAAAGGAAAGGAAAGCCAGAGAATTGATTGAGGAAGTTTGCGACGAACTTGCAAAGGAAATAGGAGAAGATAAAGCTGAGATTGAAGCATTGAAGAGAGAATCCATGAGCCTAAGAGAAGAAGTAGACGATGAAAGAAGAATGCTGCAGATGGCTGAGGTCTGGCGTGAGGAACGTGTCCAAATGAAGCTTATTGATGCCAAAGTAGCACTTGAGGAAAGGTACTCACAAATGAATAAGCTTGTAGGAGATTTGGAATCTTTCCTTAGGTCAAGAGATATCGTGACAGATGTCAAAGAGGTGAGAGAGGCTGAGTTATTAAGAGAAACCGCTGCATCGGTTAATATCCAAGAAATCAAGGAATTTACATATGAGCCTGCAAACCCGGATGATATCTACGCGGTGTTTGAAGAAATGAATATCGGTGAAGCCCATGATAGAGAAATGGAGAAATCTGTTGCTTACAGTCCAACCAGCCACGGTTCTAAAATTCACACGGTAAGTCCAGATGCCAATTTGATGAACAAGAAAGGGAGACACTCAGATGCTTTTACTCACCAGAATGGAGACATAGAAGAAGATGATAGCGGTTGGGAAACAGTGAGCCACCTCGAAGAACAAGGATCGAGTTACTCACCAGATGGGAGCATTCCTTCTGTGAACAACAAGAATCACCATCACCGAGACAGCAACGCCTCGAGTGGTGGTACAGAGTCCCTAGGCAAAGTTTGGGATGAGACAATGACTCCAACCACAGAGATAAGCGAAGTGTGTTCCATTCCAAGACGGTCATCCAAAAAGGTTTCATCAATAGCAAAGCTTTGGAGATCATCAGGTGCAAGCAATGGAGATAGAGATAGCAATTACAAGGTAATATCAATGGAAGGTATGAATGGAGGAAGGGTTTCAAACGGGAGAAAATCAAGCGCGGGAATGGTTTCACCGGACAGAGTCTCGAGCAAAGGTGGATTCAGCCCGATGATGGATTTGGTTGGACAATGGAACTCTTCACCGGAATCTGCAAATCATCCTCATGTAAACCGAGGAGGAATGAAAGGTTGCATAGAATGGCCTAGAGGTGCACAGAAGAATAGTTTGAAGTCAAAACTCATTGAAGCACGGATCGAAAGCCAAAAGGTTCAGTTAAAGCATGTCCTTAAACAGAAGATTTAGGAGCCGAAACGGTTTTGGTCACAGCTGCGTGCGGTTCTCTAATCTTTCACCGGTGTCTGATTCTGTGTATGAAGTAATAATGTTCCGGGAAAGCAGTCGGAGCCAGCAAGCAGTTTGGACCGGATTTTAGATTTATGTATGTCATTTGGTCATTAGCAAGTAAGCAATGTGTACTCTAATATTATCTCATCATTATGGAAGAAAAACCTTTAGCAGATTAAGAGACGCTAATGTACCTTAGAGACTTGATCATCAATTTATATAAAGTATAGTTATTAGTTTCCTGCAAACTCACCAAATTTGCAAAGATGCACATGTTATGGCTCCAATTTGGATTATTGATATCACAAGAACCTGATTCGGTTAGACAATCTGGTAACGATTTAAGAAAATGACATAGGAAATAAATGAAAACAATACTATCCAACTACTCTGCACATATAGTGGAAATTTTTGTTTTTAACACAAAGAAAATGAATACAAAGAGGTTTAACTTTTTCATGACATTATTGGTGAGACAACAATGATCCTCCTCCTAAAGAGGATTTAACTAAAGAAAGATAACAACACAAGATAATTGCACAACAGACTGAACTTGAATAGTTGACACACAACATTAAAATTAAGCACATCATTTTCGTAATTTACTTTCTTGTTTCTTGGAATTGTATAAAAGAATCAAATCAATCATTCTCTTATTTGTATTCTTGAAAGTTGACATGACCAGTTGCTTGAGCATGTTCCACAGCTTCCTGTTTCAATTTCAAAATTCAAGCTCTGTGATCTATGAAATAATACCAAATGAAGAATTAAGAAGACAAAGCAAATGACCTTTTGTCCAATAACTCCAATTTGGCAAACACCGCAACGTAGAGTGAAGTTTGCAGTATCTGTGTAACTCCTTTTCCTGAAACAGATAAACCAAATCTCAGGGCTTAGTCTTGTTTCCTTAAGCCACATCTAACAAAACTATGGTTGACACTTATATACATTACCTTTGTTGGTCTTTTACTAGATTCAAAACAAGCCCTTCAATTGACCCGATGGATCTATCTTTACCAACTGGAAATATAGTCATATCAAAATCTTCCTCGGCTCCTTCAAATGGAGACAGCTGGAATATTGCAGCAAGGATATTATAAATAAGCCACCAGTTTTGGACCTTTGGTTAACAAGTTACTTTTTTCAATGGAGGATATATCAACTTACAGCGAGAGCATCGTAGTGAAGACCGTCATAGATCAGCATAACTCTTTCGTTGTAGTTTTTCGTCTGCAAAAGGGAACAGTCCTGTTTAATAAAGTTATTTTTCTTCAGAATTTGTATGTTTGAAGTGTGATGATTACCTGTCCATACAAGTCACATCGACTAGTTTGAATGTCGTAAGCTGCAATTTCTCGACCATAATAATCTGCTAATATCGACAGCTCAATCGCACCTACACAAAACAAAAGAAAATGGAAAGACATATCAATTCAAAATTACTAACCTTGCAAACATTATTAGCCATGAAAAATCGTGAACGGGGAGACATTTACCAACATATATCTATAACTAAATTCAGTTGAGAATCAATACTTAAATCAATTATGGAGAATCATGTTAAACAATATAGGCAAAAATACCTCCCCACTTCTCTGGATTGAGAATCCAAGCACAATATTCTTCATTGTGCTTCCCTAGAAATGCTTCATTATATTTCTCCTTGTTGCTTGCAACTGCTGCTGCTATCACCTTATCAAAATAGCACCACGCTAATGTTACTCGTGAAATTCACAAAGGGGTTACTTGAAATACACAATTCATGTGGTAACATTCCCCCAAGTAGAAGTACCTTTCGATTGTTTGGAATTGGATATTAACTATATCAAGATTGACTAAAGAACGGTATCAGTAACCTCTAAGCTTAAATACCTTATGAAGCTGATAAACTACAAAGCAAAAGAAGCTAAACAAACTTGAACAGATCAAAGAATGCTAATATAGATGAACAAACCTGTCTGAGCTCAGGAGATTTGTTTTTATCCTTGTCCATGACATAACTGTAGAAGAGAAACCTCAAAGAAAATCAAACACAAGCCTCAAAACATTTAGTAAAAACTTCTTCTTGACTCAAAAAGCTTATTAATTACCCGATTGCATTGAAGAGACAACTGTTGTCAGATGGTATAACTCTTCTCACAATGATTCCTTCCATGTTTTAATCTCAAACTATTTGCATTCCAAAAAAAACTCAATTAGTCCATAATTTATTTAAAAAACAAGGATGAGGAGGAGTCTTGATCTGATCTAATTCTCAGAATCGATAGGAACCAAATCAGATCCATAACCACAAGCATCATCATCATCAAAGCAACAGTAACGACAAAGTATACAATTTTTGCAAAATTAAGGTATAAAGATTGATTCTTGAGGATACCCAGATGAAAATGAACACCAAACGCGATGAAAGCAAAAAAAACTTGATATAGAACAAAGTTTGGTTCTTGGTTTTGAAGGAATAGAGAAACAAAAATCCAGAGATGTGAAGATAATTCCAGCCTAAAAGGAAAAAAAAATCCAAGATTGAAGAAAAGAATTTAAAATTGGATCCACCAAATAACCATGTGAATGAAAGGAAAATAAAGTTAGATAAGACAAAGAACTCACCGTTGGGCAAGAGATCTGATTCTTGGAATTCAAAAAAAAAAAAATCGTATTAGTGTTAAAAAAAATATATATATATGTAATTTTGGCGTTGGGACCAAGAAAAATAAATTTCATTTTTGTTCTTATAATCTCTTTTTTTTTTACTTTTTTGTTGGATGTTGTTAAATAAAATTTCTCTAAAATCTTTTCAAGTTGAGTTTACATGTATTTTGAAAAATTAGTATTCACTTTGCATTATTATATCATAATTAATCTTTAGTAAGTTTTGTTTGTGACATTTTTTTGTTCTTTTCATTTTTAATCTTTTATTCTTTGTTAACATCACTAAATTATGACTGAGCTATCCCATTATCGGTGGAGGCCATCAGACTATAGTGAGACATAACAGCAGAAGCATTCATATTTTACGTTCTTCTTTTACGTACGTACGTGTATCTGGTGTTGGTCTATAGGCTAACTTCAACGAAAAGTATGACGAGTAAATGAAGAAGTGGGGAGGTGGCATAACGGGATCCAAATCTCAATCCAAGACCAAGAAGCCAAAGAGAGTCTTCTTGTCTCTTTTGTTTTCATTAAAAACGAAGTATCGGATGATTTAATTTGAAGAGAGTTGTTTCCAATTGAATCAGTATGGTATTAATACAGTATTAGTTACTACTAATCTTTATAAGTGTTGCTGTTCAAAAGAATATAATACATTCTTTAATCTAATTCAAAACAAAAATCTCTTAAATTCCCTAAGAACATTGGATCCTAACACCAAACAGCATAAATTAACCCTCCTTTGATAACAAATTTCTGTAAATTATTTGGGGAATCAAATAATATAGGAGAACCCGCAGTAGCTAGGGATAACAACCTTTAACATTAATATTATCACAAGTCTTCGATTTCTCCTCAATACAAAGCTAAAACTAGCTAGGCCAACCAAACAAACTTAGATACTAACAGTTTCCCCGTCCTTAAACTCAATGTAATCATCGCTATTGTCATCTTGATCGAGATCACCAACAACACCTTCATTAAGACGGATATCCTTCGGAAGCTCACCATACACCTTGAGAAACCTTGCCTCATCAGGCATGAACTTGTGGATGACATCAGCTTTGTCATCTTGGTAGTCCCTCAGCCCAACAAGTATGATGTCACCGGCTGAGATCCAAACCTTCTTGTGCAAGGTACCACGGATATGGCAGAGACGTTTACTCCCGTCAACGCACGCAGCTTCACATCGGCCGTTGCCAAGCATACGAACAACTTGTGCATACATACTCTTGCCCGAATTCCTTATAGATAAGCTCGCGCTTGATATCGTCAGCTTCATTCTTTCCTCTCTTCTTGTTCTTTCCTCCCTTTCCCTTGTTCTTCGGCATGGTCTCTGCATTAAATTCAATTGTTAGCTAGCCCTACTATTTCAAAAAGACTTGCAAACAAAGCCGCCATCTCGATCTATAAAAAAAGAGAAAATAACTTTGGAAGAAAAATCCATTATATATAGTTTAAAAGGTAATGCAGCGGTAAATACGTTTGAAACTTCGAGTATCAATGGATCACGAGATTAGCAACCGTAGCTAAGAGTTCTCTGTTTTCTCAAGTATCAATGGATCAAGAGAATGGAGAATTCAAAGTCTTTAGTTAGAGAAAGCTTCTCTGTTTATTAATCAAAAACAACCCCTCCTCAAAGTTACAAGAATAAGAGTACTTATAAGAAAACCCTAGCTGCAGAAGCTTGGAGACAAAGCAACTAAACGACTTAGAACGTAAAAAGGAAATTAAATACCAAAGACGGTGGCAAAAGCCTAATCAACACCAAAGCCCAACGATAAAATAAACGACCCAATACATGTAAGTATACGCCACATCAAAAGGCCTGCTTAAAAGGGTTTATTCCAAAAATCTCTCTAACCACGCCTTCTCCATAACAGAGATACACATATCTAGGGATACATGCAGAACAAGAACACATGAGTATCACAACATGCATTTTTTATAAGTTGAGAAAGTAATTTCATCAATTAATAATCGAGACTAAGACTTCCACGCATAACAGAGATACACATATCTAAGGATATACTCAACAAGAAACTATCTCAAATTCTGTATGAGCAAAAAACTGTTTGAACAACAGATGCGTACGTCTCAATTCAAGACAACACAAAAATTGGCAAAATAGACAGAAAAGAATCAAAATCAGAACAAAAGATTTCCCGACCAAACACTTCATGTAACGAGGAGTGAATATAATCCTAATTCAACAACTAGAAACCCTAATTTTATATATCAAAATCAAACGTACCGATCGACACGAATAGATTCAAACGCTCAATGGATGGATCAACTTCAACCCTATTTCTGTGTAGCTACGTTGCTCTTCGTTTTCACCTTCTCGCTAGGTGACTCGATCGCTAGGTTACGTACTTAAGTCTTAAACCCTAAACGCGTGGATTTGGAAATTAATATAGCAAATGATGCAATATATTCAGTATATATATATATATATATATATATATATATATAGGTAATTAAAATAAGTTTAACAGGTTTTAAATAAATTTATTATTTTATATTTTCTTCTATTACAATTTACAAACAATTGTTATTTAAAGTAATTAATTTATATATTGTTGAAGTCTAAACAAGTTGTAATTAAAAGGAAAAGAGCTTTTATTAATCAGAAGTAAATATGAATTTTAGGTTATATATTATTTTTTTGTAATAAAATTGAGGTTATTAGGAAAGTAATTAGCACTTTTGAAAAGTTAAATTAGAAAATTAGGTAGTTTTTATTTCTTTATTCGAGAAGTAGGTAAGGTTTTTTTTTTTTTTTTGTGAGAAGACAAAGTGAAAGTAGAAAGACAGTATAATACTTTTGGTGAGAAGTATGTATTTTAATTTGAGAGCAAAATACCAATAGTTATACCGCAGAAGAAAAAGACAGTAAGAAACAAGAGAACAAGAGATATATAAACATTAATTTGAGATACTCAATTGGTTGTTCTCTTGATTCATCACAGTTCTGAGAAATAAAATATCAGATGTAATCAAGTACAAAGAATCCACATTCTTCTAAAAGCGTATGAACTCACAAAGTAATTAGGGACCAAAAAGTAATCAAAACCAGTAACAACTAACAACGCATTGAGTAAAACATTCTCCAGTTAAGTAAAAGATATTTATTTTTTTCTGAAAAATTCATGGGGTACAAGTAAAACTATCTCTAATTAAGTAAAACAAATTTTCTAAAAAATTCCCTAAGGACATTGGATCCTTACACCAAAGAGCATAAACCCTCCTTTGTTTTCCTCTGTTTTGGTTTCTTTATCTTTTGACTTCGAGCTAACGAAGTTTTCTGTTTTCATTCCTTCCTCTGAACTGTCATGAACCGTCATGCTTACTTCCTCAGCGACCACGGTGCCGTTGTCTGAAAAGTAATGAACATCGATCATCAAGAAGGTCTTGCTTTGACCTTCTAATGTCTTGACATTATTCGGGACATCACAAGTGTAAAAGACTATAACATCCTTCTCCTTGAGATTCTTCTCCTTCACGAAACTATTCCAGCCTCTGGTGAAGACAAAGCTCTGGCTACTTTTCCAGTAACAATACCTAAACTTCCATTGTCTCATTGCTCTGTCGTAAAACACAACCTCCACATCTTCCACAGATCCTCCTATTTCACCATCTTCTTTCTCGCTTTGATCATCGCTTATGAAAGGCATATACTTCACTGCATACTTCTTAGGTATCACAAGCCTATTTAGTTTTCCTACATCACTCGGTGTCAATTCCTTCTGAAAAAGCTGTGTGCAAGAAAAACACTTGTCAGATTCTTGATTTACTTCTCCTCGGACTTGTTTTGTTCCCCCGATGTTCATACTCGCAACAATCTGAGATCTGACTCTTAGAAAGTCTCTGAACTTGTGCGGGTAAGAACCGTCTCTGATCATGTTCAACACAGTCTCTGTTGTGTAGCAATCTTGAAAGTCTGGTTCGTGGACTGTGATATTAGACCAAGGGAAGTTCCTGTGCGAGTTAGCGTCAAAGCTCCGGAGTTTGATAGATGCACTATCGTAAGCCGTGGCGGCTTCAGCAGCGGATTTGAAAGTTCCAAGCCAAATCCTTTTGTGGTCTGCATAAATCTGAGCCCCCCAATGACCGTTCTGTTGCTGAACCACCCCTTTGTACTTGACATTGCCAGAAACCACAACCGTCTTTGTTGCAGACGAAACCACTAGGGCGTTTTCAGGTTCGTCATTAAGTCTCATGCGTTTCTTGAGAGGCAAGAAAGAGTCGCTTGAACTTGAAGACCCTGAAGTCTCCGTCTTTGCGTCGTCGATGTTGTTCATTGACATTATCAGAGAGAATTCAAGAAACAGAGTAATAGAGAGATACGAGAGACAGAGAGAAAGAGACAAAACGATGAAGAAATATGAGGAACAAAGAGAGATCTATATAAAGAGAGCAAATCGTGGGAGAATCAATGTTATGTTTCTTAATCTTGTTGTTGTTGCGGTGCTTGAGTATTTATCAAGTTATCAGTTTCCATTTCCTATTTGTTGTAGTTTCTATAGATTGGCGATGAGAGAAAATTATGGAAAATATTGGAATTAGAGAATTTCCATTTTGTGTCGGTTCATTAATTACTTGATATATCTGATTGACAGAAAAAAAGGAAATACTTGAGAGAGCCGCTGGAAAATATATCAAGTAACAATTAGGGTTTTATGTTTACCCTAATTTTATCATTAACAAAACGTTTCTTATCTCATGTGGTTGAGTATTTTTTTTTATTTCTTCAATTTTTTGTTTTTGTTTTTTTGGTTTCTAATTGGTTCTTCTTCCAATAAGTCAACTAAAAAACAAAAGAATAATTAACAGAATTGTAAAACCTAACAAAACGTACGTTTAATAACCTACAACAATTAAGGAGGGGTTATTGGTTCATGGATTTATATGGAATTAGAAATCCAAACAAAAATCATTTGTTATTCAATCATTGATTTTAAAATCCTAATTAAATTCATGTGTTATTGGTTCTATGATTTATAAATACTAGTTAAAATCATATGTTATTCGTTTAATCATTTGTTTTTGGATTTGAGAATCCAAATTATGTTTTAAATGGAATTGAATGGGAAAAATAGAAGGATTCAAATCCATGGGTAAACACATGTTATTTCAAAATCCATATATCTTGATTTCATAATTAATAGAAATTTTCAAATTCTATATAAATTTACAAATTAATAAACCAATAACACCCCCTTAGAGTATTGGAATCACCACGATCGCGACCAATTAGGGTTACACAAGACATCTTAGGATCATAATTTGAAGCGTCAGAAATTTAATCTCGATGAGCAATGCGAAGAGAATTCGTCGTCAACGGGATTACGCAAGGAACGAGTAGTTATGATTTGATTTGATTTTTTGAATCTTCCGGAATTTGGATTTGATAACTTTATCTATGTTTTTAAGAAAAAAGATTACGATTTTGACTTGACGAAAGTAGTACTTTAACCAAATTTAACCGATGGAGATCAAAGTTAATTAACAAGCACAATGATGATAAGGTTTTATAAAAATCATCTACTAGTTCAGTTTGTCTCTACACGAATTTTCTCTCTTGGAGGCTTTGCGCCCGAAAATTTCTTAGTCACTTTCTTCCTCATCCTGCAAAACAGAAGAAGACATCAACTGTTCCAATTTATTCTCTCCGACTATGAAAACCAAAAACTGAAGGATATATATAGAGCACGGCATAACTGAAGCTTATTAATTTAATTAATCTGTTTTAGTATTATGTAATTGGCCTCTTTTATGAACCGCCGGAGAAAAAAGAGGGACCTTTTAATCTTCAATTCAAGGATAGAAGAAAGAAACAGAGAGAATTAGGGTTACGTACCCTGGCATATCTGTATTAGTTAAGAGTTATGGATCCGCAGGTGGTGGTCGATAAGAAATCTGAGGAGCCTGATCTGAAGCGTCAGAAGCTGGACGAGGTCGATGAGAAATGCGAAGAGATGTCGTCGTACAGCGATTCTACGTGTAGTTTCGATTCGGAAGATGAACGATTGGTCAAAGAAGAACTCAACAGAAGCGGGGTATGTTGTTGTAATCATCCACCAATCTCTCCTACGCTTCTCTCATGAATGTGATTGTTGTCTGTAGGATTACGACTTTGACACCACGAAGCAAAGACGCTTTGTAATGCGCTATCCTGTTAACTTCGAGGATAGCGATGTTGTTGATGAACCGGACACCGACGGAGATTTGGTCCACCGATTATCCAAGATTGCTCTTCAGAAACACAATGAGTATAACTTGACAAATCTTGAATTAGTGAGAGCTGTCAAGGCTAATCGCCATTATGGCGCGGGATTCATTTTCTACATCACCTTCGAGGCCAAGGATAATGATTCTCACATTATTATACCTTTTCAAGCTACCGTTCGCTACCTTCCACTGCAGGTAACCGTCTACCGTGTCAACCCTAAACCATAATTAGATTGGTAAGCTCTCAAACTTTTGTTGGACTCAATCTCCCATTCTCTTCTCTTTACACTTCTATCTAGTCGCCGTTATATCAATGTCATCCTTCCTCTATATATCTTCCTTAAAGATGCATCGGTTTAGAATCAGGCATATACAGTACTATGTATAAGTTGTTATTGATCTGTGTTTTGGGGTTAAACTTGCTTCTGTATGTGTTTAGGACCAAGTAGTGGCGGATGTAACAGGGATGAATGTTATTAGATTGGTAAGCTCTGAAATATTTTTGTATCCCATTCTGTTCTGTTTACACTTCTATCTATTCTCCATTAATGTCACTGATCCCTTCCTCTATATTTCTTAAAAGATGCAAATTATCTAACATCTCTAGCTAGTATCAGTTTAGAATCATCAGGCTTATACAGTAATCTCACTGATATGTATTTTGGAGTAAAATTTGTGGGAATCTCCCATTCTGTTTACAATTCTAACTAGGAGGAAACCAAGGGAAACATGTCATTGATTATATACCTCTCATTTTGGTTTAGTTTTTTAAGTATGTAAGATTTGTTAGGTCCTCTGTTTCAGCAAGTCATCTACTTGACTCATACCTGTTAATCTGGTATCTTGCAGGAGTGTCGGTGCATCTGATCTTTTGGAATCGGGTTGTTCCTTAGTATAATGATATTCTACTCAACTTTATATTATCTGCAAACTTCTTTACTGTTACTGGGATAAACTTATGCATCTTTTACTCTTGTACCATTAAGTTGTGTGTATCTTTAACTTCTATTGCGACAAGTTGTTTACTTTAAAAAAAAAAGATTTTTGGTAGCTTGTATCTTTTATTGGTTATACCTAGCGAGAAATGTCATTCTGTTGGACACAACATGGTTATACTATCATAGCTTATTTGCTTCCTCATCTTTTTTTCTTCGTTTTTGATTTGTCTTCCTTGTATTGGTCTTTTTCTTCGTTGTCTCATATGGTTTTACGGCTCTACTCTTTCGGGTTCTTCCCACCTTTGAAATCGTCCAGCATTAACAACTGACATTGCGAATGAACTGGAAACCAAAGTAGATTTGGTCCATCGATTGTCCACCTAAACCATGATTGTTCGATATAGGTAAGGTCTGAAAATTTTGTGGGAATCTTCCTGAGTAGTGAGTGGCCATAAATGTAGGAGCAAAGACATGAAAACGTTACTGATCATCTCTATCTCTCATGTTGGTTATAGTATCATCAAGTATTGATATGTGTTTATTTACTTGTGTTGATCATTATTTACTAGAGTTTTCTGCAAAACAACCCTCTAAGTAAATTTCTTTTGCAAATTTACCCTCCAAAGTCCGAATTATACAAGTCAACCCCACAATTTCAAAAGTTACTCGCAATACAGCCTTCCTGTGTAGCGATGACGTGACACTCGATAACTCCGTTTGAAAGCATAAAGGGTTTTGTGCAAAAATACCTTCTATGTAATTTTTTTTGCAAGACAAATCTCCATGTCAAATAAATGTAGGTCAAACCACAATCTCAAAAGTCACCCGTAATATAGCTTTTCCAGTTTTTGTACGAATCACCATTTTGTAAATCTAATGCAAAAAAATCGTAATTGTTTTTTTCATTTGACTAATTTTACAATAATGCTAAATGATTCCAACGATATGCATTATTATGGATGAAAGCCGTTAATGTTTCAAAAGTATATAAGCTTTGATTAATCATCATCATCGTTAGTATCTGGCCAATGTTGCTTCACATGGAACGCTTAAATGACAAAAGAAAATCAAAATCGCGAGGAGAAATAGTTGACTTGTCTTATAAAAAAATGTCAATTTAATTTCACCAACTAACTAATTCTCCACAGACCACAGCTGCCCAAAAAGCCGACCTTTAAGGATCCCTCCACTACTTCGTTCTTCCTCTTCCCCGAACTTTTCATGATTCTTCTGCAATTCAACTTTCCTTTGTTCTGATCTCTTAAACCCAAATCATTGCTTGATGAAACAAGTTCGTTGTCTTTAGTTGCTGAATTGATACACTTCCACGTCTCCTAGTATAAACCCACCAAAAAAAGATCAAACCTTTGCTTTTTCTCTGTTTCATTTTCTTGATTCTCTACAAATTTTTACGCAAGTTTCGATCTTTTGTCTCTGGGTCGTGATATTTTGAGCTGATTTAGCTAAAACAGAGACGAAAAAACAATGGGGAATTGCTTAGCCAAGAAATATGGAGTGGTGATGAAACCACAACAAAATGGTGAAAGATCAGCTGAGATCGAGAACAGAGGAAGGAGTAACCACCAATATCCGCCGGAGAAACCCACTGGAACGAATCAACCACCGCCGTGGCGGAATCCGGCGAAACACAGTGCTGCTGCAGCTATACTCGAGAAGCCGTACGAAGACGTGAAACTGTTCTACACGCTGAGCAAAGAATTGGGTCGAGGCCAGTTTGGAGTAACGTATCTGTGCACAGAGAAGTCGACGAGGAAGAGATTCGCTTGCAAGTCGATTTCGAAGAAGAAACTTGTGACGAAAGCTGATAAAGAAGATATGAGGAGAGAGATTCAGATTATGCAGCATTTGAGTGGACAACCTAACATTGTTGAGTTTAAAGGAGCTTATGAAGATGAGAAAGCTGTGAATTTGGTAATGGAGCTTTGTGCTGGTGGTGAATTGTTTGATAGGATTTTAGCAAAAGGACATTACAGTGAGAGAGCAGCTGCTTCTGTTTGTAGACAGATTGTTAATGTTGTCAACATTTGTCATTTCATGGGTGTGATGCATAGGGATTTAAAGCCTGAGAATTTCTTGTTATCTAGCAAAGATGAGAAGGCTCTTATCAAAGCCACTGATTTCGGATTATCGGTCTTTATCGAAGAAGGTATATTACATCTTTTGTTTTGAATTGGTTATATGTCTTTGGAACTGATTTTTGTTGATTCATTTGTGATGGGTTTATTTTGTAGGGAGAGTGTATAAAGATATAGTTGGGAGTGCATATTATGTTGCTCCTGAAGTTTTGAAGCGTAGATACGGTAAAGAAATCGATATATGGAGTGCTGGAATTATACTATACATTCTACTTAGCGGTGTGCCTCCGTTTTGGGCTGGTAAATGCGATGATATTATCGGTTATTTCCATTCATATACATTTGAGAAGAATGTAGTTGCTGATGTGTATGAGTATGTTTTGTTGGTTTTGCGAATTTAGAAACGGAGAAAGGGATATTTGATGCTATATTGGAAGGTGAAATAGACTTTGAATCCCAACCTTGGCCTTCAATTTCCAATAGTGCTAAAGATTTGGTACGTAGAATGTTAACACAAGATCCGAAAAGACGGATTTCTGCTGCTGAAGTTCTTCGTAAGTAAACGATCTTTTCAGGGATTTTCCTTTGTTGGTTATGGTAACTTCTTGTATACTTACTCGAATGTTGACAATGTGGTTGGTTTTTTTTTTACATTTTGAAGAGCATCCATGGCTAAGAGAAGGTGGAGAAGCATCAGATAAGCCTATTGATAGTGCTGTTCTCTCAAGGATGAAGCAATTTAGAGCGATGAATAAACTAAAGAAACTTGCTTTAAAGGTTAGATCAAGGATTCTACACCTTGTTGCTACATGCGATAGTCCTTTCTGCTTCTTACTGATAAATTTTGTAACAGGTCATTGCGGAGAACATTGACACGGAAGAAATACAAGGCTTAAAGGCGATGTTTGCTAATATAGACACAGACAATAGTGGTACAATCACATATGAAGAACTGAAAGAAGGATTAGCCAAACTGGGATCAAAACTCACTGAAGCTGAAGTGAAACAGCTCATGGATGCTGTAAGTTTTGGTCAAGAAAAGATCTTTACATTTACTTTTACCCACATTGAAAGTTAAAAAACTCATATTCGGGTTTTTGTGATTCAGGCTGATGTTGATGGAAACGGGTCAATTGATTACATTGAGTTTATTACTGCAACAATGCATAGACATAGGCTTGAAAGTAATGAAAACCTTTACAGAGCCTTCCAACATTTTGATAAAGATGGGAGTGGGTAAGTGATCCTTCTTTTGATATGAATCATTTTGTAAAGTAAATAGATTTGTAAGCATGATTGATGAGACTTTTACTCGAAATAGATACATTACGATAGACGAGCTAGAGGCTGCTTTGAAGGAATATGGAATGGGAGATGATGCTACAATCAAAGAGATTTTGTCTGATGTCGACGCCGATAACGTAAAGCCAAAAGAAAAAGCTCTTCTCCCTTATAACGTTTTTTTGTTTTCTTTCTCTAACCTCAAATTTCTCTTTCCTGTTACAGGACGGTAGAATCAACTATGAAGAGTTTTGTGCTATGATGAGAAGTGGAAATCCACAACAACCAAGACTATTCTAACACATTGTATTTGTGTCTTCTATGTATGAATCTAATCCAAAAAGACAAGAGTTGTATTATTATTGTTGTTCAGGCAAAATTTCAGGTTGAAAGAAAAAAAAGATTGTTTTCATTTCTTCCAAGGTTTTGTTTTGTTACTGTTAAACTGATTATCTCATTTGGTTTGAAGGACCATTACCAGTATATAACCAAGGAAGATAGCACACTGTAAGTAGATTACAAGTAGCGGATCACATAACTGGATGTATATAAAATTATACTGATTTTTTTCTCAGTTCAATCTTTTCTTCGAGGATCAGATTTGCTCATACATATGTCACAACTCACAAGTGTTAACAAATCTAGTGATCAGTCATGAGACTTGAGGTCCATTTCTACTTGATGAATGGTCCACTGCATATTTTCCAGTTTCTGCAAAACATGAAAGCTCTCATCATAATTTGTGTTATTGCATTCCCACAAGTCGATTCAAATTTAGAAGGTGATATGACGTAAGTAATGGCTTGCTTATACCTTTACAATGTCATGGTACTGTCTGGCAATTGTATCAAAATGTGGATCCACTCCTTGATATTCTCTAAGCCGTGTAACCTGTGCGTCATTTCGCAGGTTCGATTAATTATTTGGGAGTAAAACGCCAATGAAGACGGAAAAAAGGGGTTTAGAGCTAAGCAATGTAAGAGAGGATAAAGACACAAACCGCTTTGTTGTATGCAGCTGAAGCTTCCTCGGTAGCCTCGACTAGATAATTCCTAAAAATACAATAATAAGGCTAGGAGGTGAGAGATGGGGTCATGGGTTCGTCAAATACATGGCAAAAAACATGTCTGGAAAATAGATTCCCGCACCTGATGTTGTGCAGAGCTGATATGGAGTCAGGGGTGTATGTCTCAAGGAGGAGAACATTTTCCAGAACCCTTCACAAGCAGAGAAAAATAAGATGTTCTACTACAATAGCCCGTAATTTGGATCCTAAACAGTAAAAGATGAGATTATACCTTAATTTTGCATTCATGGTCTCACACCTTTTACACAACCAAGTCTTCTGCATCTCATTCTGTAACAATACAATATAGAGTAAGATAAATGTGAATAGGCAGCAATTAAATCAATTGGGAAACACTGAAACCCTTACATATTTGTGTTGATGTTCTAACTTTAGATCTTTCACAAGCTTAATAAGCACCCCGAGTATTTGTTCCAGGACCTTGTTCAGAAAAAAATGTACAGTCATCAGAACTTACTAGCACTAGGGAGTACAAGGATAATTCACAGGCAGTAGCTTTAATAATACAATATGAGTTTTCTTTTCACCTACATTGTAATATTCAGCAAACTTCCTGTCAGCCGAGTAGAGGTCCTCTCGTAGAGCTGCTTCATCTCTTTCAATCTCCTCAATTATAAACTTAACCCTGGAAATGCAAGAAAACATTGTCATTGATCGGTGCTAGAGAGCATAAGAGGATGGCTAAGTGTGGGAAAGTCATCTGCTCCTTCAAGACTTTTGGATAAACATTACAGAGAA